GAGGGAGTGAAAAGATGACAGGTCCGCAGGGAGTCTAGTTTTCCTCAATTTCCGCTCGGCTACCCGGAGCCCTGTTCTGTGAGCTCGCAATGAGTCGTCAAGCCACGGAGCAGGAGGGGAGGACCGAGCCGGCCGGGAGGATAGGGGACATAGAGAGTCAAAAGATGCAGAAAGGGAGGAGAGGAGGCAGAATCAGGAGATCGGAGGGAGAAGGATTTAGCAGAGGGATGAGATGATAGGATGGAAGAGGAGAGAGTAGCGGTAGAGAGAGAGCAAAGGTTGCGATGGCGCATTACCATCTGAGTAGGGGCAGAGTGAGTAGTGTTGGAGGAGAGCGAGAGAGAAAAGGATACAAAGTAGTGGTCGGAGACTTGGAGGGGAGTTGCAGTGAGATTAGTAGAAGAACAGCATCTAGTAAAGATGAGGTCAAGCGTATTGCCTGCCTTGTGAGTAGGGGGGGACGGTGAGAGGGTGAGGTCAAAAGAGGAAAGGAGTGGAAAGAAGGAGGCAGAGAGAAATTAGTCAAAGGCAGACATCGGCAGGTTAAAGTCACCCAGAACTGTGAGGGGTGAGCCATCCTCAGGAAAGGAACTTATCAAGGCGTCAAGCTCATTGATGAACTCTCCAAGGGAACCTGGAGGGCGATAAATGACAAGGATGTTAAGCTTGAATGGGCTAGTGACTGTGACAGCATGGAATTCAAATGAGGAGATAGACAGATGGGTCAGGGGGAAAAGAGAGAATGTCCACTTGGGAGAGATGAGGATTCCTGTGCCACCGCCGCGCTGACCAGATGCTCTCGGGGTATGCGAGAACACATGATCAGACAAGGAAAGAGCAGTAGGAGTAGCAGTGTTTTCTGTGGTAATCCATGTTTCCGTCAGCGCCAAGAAGTCGAGACTGGAGGGTAGCATAGACTGAGATGAACTCTGCCTTGTTGGCCGCAGAATGGCAGTTCCAGAGACTGCCGGAGACCTGGAACTCCACGTGGGTCGTACGTTTAGGGACCACCAGATTAGAGTGGTAGCAGCCACGCGGTGTGAAGCGTTTGTATGGCCTGTGCAGAGAGGAGAGAACAGGGATAGACAGACACATAGTTGACAGGCTATAGAAAAGGCTACAATAATGCAAAAGTGATCGGAATGAAATTAACTAATCATCTGGGGAAGCGAGAGAGCGGGGCCTCCCTCGATTATCTCCCGCAGAACAAATGGGCAGAACTGTCTTTGTTTCAGGGACAGTCTTCGTTTTGGGGACAGCTGCCGCAGACAGCTGCCACTGAACAAAACGAACTCTGAACCAACTATATTAACTTGGGGACAGGTCGAAAAGCATTAAACATTTATGGCAATTTAGCTAGCTAGCTTGCTGTTGCTAGCTTATACAGTGAGGGAAAAAAGTATTTGATCCCCTGCTGATTTTGTAAGTTTGCTCACTGACAAAGAAATGATCAGTCTATAATTTTAATGGTAAGTTTATTTGAACAGTGAGAGACAGAATAACAACAACAAAATCCAGAAAAAAAACATGTAAAAAATGCTATGAATTGATTTGCATTTTAATGAGGGAAATAAGTATTTGACCCCTCTGCAAAACATGACTTAGTACTTGGTGGCAAAACCCTTGTTGGCAATCACAGAGGTCAGACGTTTCTTGTAGTTGGCCACCAGGTTTGCACACATCTCAGGAGGGATTTTGTCCCACTCCTCTTTGCAGATCTTCTCCAAGTCATTAAGGTTTCGAGGCTGACGTTTGGCAACTCGAACCTTCAGCTCCCTCCACAGATTTTCTATGGGATTAAGGTCTGGAGACTGGCTAGGCCTCTCCAGGACCTTAATGTGCATCTTCTTGAGCCACTCCTTTGTTGCTTTGGCCGTGTGTTTTGGGTCATTGTCATGCTGGAATACCCATCCATGACCCATTTTCAATGCCCTGGCTGAGGGAAGGTTCTCACCCAAGATTTGACGGTACATGGCCCCGTCCATCGTCCCTTTGATGCGGTGAAGTTGTCCTGTCCCCTTAGCAGAAAAACACCCCCAAAGCATAATGTTTCCACTTCCATGTTTGACGGTGGGGATGGTGTTCTTGGGGTCATAGGCAGCATTCCTCCTCCAAACACGGCGAGTTGAGTTGATGCCAAAGAGCTCCATTTTGGTCTCATCTGACCACAACACTTTCACCCAGTTCTCCTCTGAATCATTCAGATGTTCATTGGCAAACTTCAGACGGGCATGTACAGTGGGGGGAAAAAGTATTTAGTCAGCCACCAATTGTGCAAGTTCTCCCACTTAAAAAGATGAGAGAGGCCTGTAATTTTCATCATAGGTACACGTCAACTATGACAGACAAAATGAGAATTTTTTTACCAGAAATTTTTTTAATGAATTTATTTGCAAATTATGGTGGAAAATAAGTATTTGGTCAATAACAAAAGTTTCTCAATACTTTGTTATATACCCTTTGTTGGCAATGACACAGGTCAAACGTTTTCTGTAAGTCTTCACAAGGTTTTCACACACTGTTGCTGGTATTTTGGCCCATTCCTCCATGCAGATCTCCTCTAGAGCAGTGATGTTTTGGGGCTGTCGCTGGGCAACACGGACTTTCAACTCCCTCCAAAGATTTTCTATGGGGTTGAGATCTGGAGACTGGCTAGGCCACTCCAGGACCTTGAAATGCTTCTTACGAAGCCACTCCTTCGTTGCCCGGGCGGTGTGTTTGGGATCATTGTCATGCTGAAAGACCCAGCCTCGTTTCATCTTCAATGCCCTTGCTGATGGAAGGAGGTTTTCACTCAAAATCTCATGATACATGGCCCCATTCATTCTTTCCTTTACATGGATCAGTCGTCCTGGTCCCTTTGCAGAAAAACAGCCCCAAAGCATGATGTTTCCACCCCCATGCTTCACAGTAGGTATGGTGTTCTTTAGATGCAACTCAGCATTCTTTGTCCTCCAAACACGACGAGTTGAGTCTTTACCAAAAAGTTCTATTTTGGTTTCATCTGACCATATGACATTCTCCCAATCCTCTTCTGGATCATCCAAATGCACTCTAGCAATCTTCAGACGGGCCTGGACACGTCTGGCACTGCAGGATTTGAGTCCCTGGCGGCATAGTGTGTTACTGATGGTAGGCTTTGTTACTTTGGTCCCAGCTCTCTGCAGGTCATTCACTAGGTCCCCCCGTGTGGTTCTGGGATTTTTGCTCACCGTTCTTGTGATCATTTTGACCCCACGGGGTGAGATCTTGCGTGGAGCCCCAGATCGAGGGAGATTATCAGTGGTCTTGTATGTCTTCCATTTCCTAATAATTGCTCCCACAGTTGATTTCTTCAAACCAAGCTGCTTACCTATTGCAGATTCAGTCTTCCCAGCCTGGTGCAGGTCTACAATTTTGTTTCTGGTGTCCTTTGACAGCTCTTTGGTCTTGGCCATAGTGGAGTTTGGAGTGTGACTGTTTGAGGTTGTGGACAGGTGTCTTTTATACTGATAACAAGTTCAAACAGGTGCCATTAATACAGGTAACGAGTGGAGGACAGAGGAGCCTCTTAAAGAAGAAGTTACAGGTCTGTGAGAGCCAGAAATCTTGCTTGTTTGTAGGTGACCAAATACTTATTTTCCACCATAATTTGCAAATAAATTCATTAAAAATCCTGCAATGTGATTTTCTGGATATTTTTTCCTCAATTTGTCTGTCATAGTTGACATGTACCTATGATGAAAATTACAGGCCTCTCATTTTTTTAAGTGGGAGAACTTGCACAATTGGTGGCTGACTAAATACTTTTTTCCCCCACTGTATATGTGCTTTCTTGAGCAGGGGGACCTTGCGGGCGCTGCAGGATTTCAGTCCTTCACAGTGTAGTGTGTTACCAATTGTTTTCTTGGTGACTATGGTCCCAGCTGCCTTGAGATCATTGACAAGATCCTCCCATGTAGTTCTGGGCTGATTCCTCACCGTTCTCATGATCATTGCAACTCCACGAGGTGAGATCTTGCATGGAGCCCCAGGCCGAGGGAGATTGACAGTTCTTTTGTGTTTCTTCCATTTGCGAATAATCGCACCAACTGTTGTCACCTTCTCACCAAGCTGCTTGGCGATGGTCTTGTAGCCCATTCCAGCCTTGTGTAGGTCTACAATCTTGTCCCTGACATCCTTGGAGAGCTCTTGGCCATGGTGGAGAGGTTTGGAATCTGATTGATTGCTTCTGTGGACAGGTCACTTTTATACAGGTAACAAACTGAGATTAGGAGCACTCCCTTTAAGAGTGTGCTCCTAATCTCAGCTCGTTACCTGTATAAAAGACACCTGGGAGCCAGAAATCTTTCTGATTGAGAGGGGGTAAAATACTTATTTCCCTCATTAAAATGCAAATCAATTTATAACAATTGACATGCGTTTTTCTGGATTTTGTTGTTGTTATTTTGTCTCTCACTGTTCAAATAAACCTACCATTAAAATTATAGACTGATCATTTCTTTGTCAGTGGACAAATGTACAAAATCAGCAGGGAATCAAATACTTTTTTCCCTCACTATATGTCCTGGGATATAAAACATTGGGTTGTTATTTTACCTGAAATGCACAAGGTCCTCTACTAAAACAATTAATCCACAGATAAAAGGGTACCGAGTTCGTTTCTAGTAATCTCTTCTCCTTTAGGCTTCTTCTTTGGACGTTATATTGCGTTTGGCAACCAACTTTAAAAAGGTGCATTACCACCACCAACACCAACTGGACTGGAGTGTGTCTTTCAATCGCCCACGTGGGTATATGCTCCTAAAAACCAATGAAGAGATGGGAGAGGTGGGACTTGCAGCGCGTCACAAATAGAACCAAGTTATATTTTAGCGCCTGGCCACTCAGACGCTTGCGAGCAGTGTGGATGCAATGATTGAATAACATGTATGTGTACATTTATTTTGAAACGCACGCGACGTGTCCGGTCAGCATGTTAGGCACAACCACATTTTATCACAGGTAAAAAAAGGAAATATACAGTCCCTATTTCTGGTAATAATTCCTTTCCTGGAATGGACTTAAGGTTAACATCAGAGACTAGTTCAATGTAATCAGAGAAAAGATCAGGACACTTTGGGCCTGAGTTTGAATGGATAATTAACATTTATTGTGAAAGGTTGGTTTGAGGTATATGTACTGCTGTACATTTTTTTATTGTGCATTCTGAGTGTTTGTGCAGATGTGTCTGGGTATCACTGAGATGTGGCCATGATGCTGGATACACCTGTGGAAAGAGGGACAGAAACAAAGGAAAATACAGGAGAGAAAAGGGGGAGAGGAAGACAGAAGGGAGCAGGAGAAAACAATGGGAAAGAAAGTCAACAAAATTGTCTTTCCATTAAAAGTCTTAGGTTACATAAAGCTACACTGACAGGGGTGATGGGGTGGAAGGAGAAGTTGAACTTTGAAAATGTATGCTAAAAGTGACTATAGACAAACAACACAAAGCAACTTCAATGGATACCAGCAAACAAGACAGAAACTGGGACACAAGACAAGGAAACACTCACTCTCAAAGTCAATCTTTTCAACAATGTTCTTGGGCTTGACGCTCTCCTCCTGGTTAAAGATGAAGATCTGCCCTTCCTCGTTCTCCGTCCACCCGTACTTGCTCATCCACACCTTCACCTGCATGTCTGTATGGGGAGCAGGAAGTCAAATGAGCAGGGTGAAGTGAGATATGACTTGCAGATAATTAACACTGTAGAGTCACAAAGAAAGGAAATCAATAGGACAGCACTCTCCAAAATATATACATTTTAAATGAATGGTCTTACCAAGGGGATCACCCAGCATCTCAGCCAGAAGTCGATGCTCAATGTTCTGGTATGTGATTCCAACCACATGGCAGATAACTGTGGAGAGAGCAGCAGTTAGACAAGGCTATTATCACGTTTTTATTGCAATATTATGCAGTCATCAACTAAACTTGATTTCCAAATATTCTACTCACACTTGCGCACTGAGTCCTCAAAGCCTGTGATGCCGTCAATGAATTCCCTGTTCTCCTCCAGACTGGACTGTGTGACAGACACAAAGGAATGAGTACCATACAATCATACCATTATGATAACTGGATGTCACATTTCATAAAGATGTAATGAAGTCATGATAGGGGTTGTCTATTAGTACAGCCATCAATGTCCAGTTAGAGCCACAATGTACAGTCATGTTTAACCTCAATGTTCTGTTTGTAACCGCTCCATGTCAGGATCCCAAAAATGATCTAACAATGATTGGAAAGTTGAGTGAAATCAGCAGGGCAAAAGGCGGGTGAAACAAAGAGACAGACAAACAGATATTGTATTGTGTACATACCCAGAAGGACTGGAAATGGCAGGTCTCCAGGAGGTTCCCCAGGTACAGGATCTGCCTTATGGGGCGCTCCTCCTGCTGCTTCACTGTAGTCAAGGAAAGGCACCACACACAGAGCAAACAACTGGCCACATAAGACAGTAATGTCCACACCATTACTCCAACACAAACCCCGGAGAACAACAATCAAAACAAAACACATTTTTGTAGGCTTGGGCAGTATCCAGATTGCCATACTTTCATACCGACCTTGTGCCATACTGGGTATTCTGTAATACCGGCCCTGAACACAAGGGGAGCTATTTTCCAACCTCACTGAGCCATTGTAATCCAAAGGTTAGCAATGCTAACAAGTACATGTAAAATCCCATAGAGAATGCTAACTAAATGTTAACGAGTACTTTGCAAACATTTTATACAGTCTCTGATCTAAAGTATTTGCAGGACAGACATCCCAGCTCATAAAGTTATACAAGCAACAACAAAAAAAATGCTACTCACAGTTTGCTGCGAGCACAAAACAAATATAAGACAGCAAGGCTCTTGATCCAGGAGTGGATTATCTGCTGTTACTAAACAAAGTTTGATTTTGGAAGAAGCTAACTACTTAGCTAGATAGCTAACTAGCTACCAAATTAGCAAACCAAATGCACAACTGCAGAGCATTTAGCACATTTTAGTCAGTTAACTTAATAGTTATAAGATATCTAGCTGGCAAACATATAGTTGTGAATTCCATACTGTAACTAGATCACCTGGCGCATGCTGCACAACAGTGAGTGACTCACAAGACTCCGGTCTCTTGTCTCTCATCGTTGTGTAATTGTAAAACAAACACCACGTGACTGGGGACTACCAGTAAGCGTCATAATGAAAAAATTTGACAGGTGAAATTAAGAACACAATCTTCTTTATCTTCTAACATATTGTACAAGTTGACTGCAGGTATTTACTTAAAAAGTAGCTACAAATAAAAAAATTAAATAAAAAAAACATTGAATACATATTTCCAACGGTATTGAAAAACCATCCTGTGGCCATTTCCAAATACCCCGGAATACAGTATACCGCCCAAGCCTAAATGATTATCAGTGTTTTTGAACAAATTATTGTCACTGTTTTGGTTGACAGGGAGTACAGAAGTGGACAAATTGCAATTGTTGCAGGATTATACTACTAGATTATACTGAGCAACAAAAGGATACGTGTGTCTGGTCAATCATGCACTTGCACAGAGTAAAGTCTGTGTGTGGTAGGTTGGTCAGGGCCTTGAGCAGAATCTGCGACGTCACTGTGACCTGGAAGTAGGCAGGGTTGAACTGGTACCTTAAGGAACAAGAACAGCATCTCTGTTACTGATATAGCCATGAGTGGTGTTCTGCTTGCCCGAGAATGTACACCTTAAGGTCCAAGGACCTTATGTTATTTTCAGAGGTAGAATGGCTCTGGCAGCCAAAAACTCCATCTACATGTGAATCAGTTCTCAATTGCGATACGGTTCTAGAAACATTAAGCCCTTTACCTTCATATCACATCAAAATAATTTCACAAATGCAAAATATACACTTACTGTACACTGTTTTAACAGTCTTTATCACAGTTGAAGCAGACTTTATTTTTCAGTTACAAAACGTTTCTGGCGACCTTCTTCAGTTACACACAGGTGTTCGGAGCATGCTAGATAGTAGAGATGTGCATCTCTCCTTACAAGCATGATTCAATACACATGGGCTCCAACGCGATACAGGAACGATACTTTTAGTTTGAAACAATTCTGTGTGTTTCGATTTGATTAGTGGAACGGGAAGCGATGCACTAACAATTGTTGTATGAACACATTTTCCATTCTAAATCCATATCTAATACTGATGGAGCTCAGGAGCTGGATCTGTCTGACCTGACTTCTCTGAGTGGCCCTGTGTGTGTGAATGATGTAGTGTGTGAGCGGAGCTATTTGGCAGATCGAGCATCTACCACTGTTCATGTAAAAATTACCGAATGCACTGACTGTTTAAATATTTAGTACGGTGAACCTGCCAATCGAAAAGCCCCAATCAGCAGTTAGATGTGTGATCAGTTGTGTCCACTCCAGTAGCCTACACAGTTCCACCAGTAAAACACAATTTTCTACAGAGCATTTGGTAACAATGACCCAGCAAATTACATTAGTTGTCTAATTAATAAAGCCTATGATTTAATATTGCGAAAGCCATTTTACAAACATCTGAACGCTGAAGGTGACTCGGAGATGTAGCCTACGAATATTAGCACAGGGTAGACCTACCTCTCATTGGTGCGAGCAGCTGCGTTTCCCGCACTGTGCACAGTTGTTATCTGACTTGTAGATCAATGTCATGTATAACAGTTTGATAGGCTGAAGGAGAGGGCGCATCAATTCAGTCACAACAGATTGGAGGTATTTTCGGAATATGGCAGAAAAATAATAACTAAATAATGCACTCGCATCTTAAACATTTGAACCGGCGACCAATGATTATCAGTGAACCGTCACTACGAGATAGCTAATTAGTACAGGTGGTCAACTTCTGTCTTACGTAAACACGCAATGTAACATGGAGATATGGTCGTGTGGGAACACTAACCCTATCAAGGTGTGTATCAATTTAACCTTTTGCTTTTGAAAATGATTTCTCGTTGATATGATAAAGGTCCTTATGCTTCGCTGTTCATTTTCAGACTGAGCGCAGGGGCTCTTAACAAAACTCCCCTGTACAGAAGAAGCCTTTGTCCAATGACTCTTATGTGTAATGTAACTGAACTGAGTCATGATCAAGGGCTGCTTGCCACCCAACAGGCAAATGGAACTACATATGTTATCCATTTTTTACAGGCCTTACAAACGTGATAGTAGTCAACAGACAGTCTGAGGTAGGGTGACTCACAATTTGAGGATAGCCAAATTGGCCTCTAGGTCGTAGGCATTTTCTTTAACTTGTGTTTCCACGTAGCGTTCCAGTGTTGAAAGGTTCTCTGGGTTGTATCTGAAAGAGATCATTAACAAAATAACATCAAGGGCATGGATTCAACAGATAGCCGACACAGCTAGTTAACTAACGTTACTTAAACTACAACACACAACAAGTTGTGCAAAAACATGCAGAGACCCAATCAATCTGCATCATAACCAACCAGCTGTCAAAGGATGTTGTTGTGCTCGCTAACTAACGTTAGCTTACAGTTTACCGGTACAAGCCGGTGTACCTAGCTAGCTAGTTAACGTTCGCTTACAAGTCATATTAGGTCAACCAAAGGTTTGTCAAACGTGCACGTCGTTAATGTTGGATATGTCTAATAAATTATTCCAACAGCTACGTTAACTGTAACTTTCTGCATACTTTCAAACAATCAAACTTAGCTAGCATTACGTAGCAGCAGCTAGCTAGCAAACTGAATGGGCTAGCTAAGCTAATATTTGTCAAACAAATTTCCATACCTATCAATTCCTCGTAAGAGCTTTCCCACGTTGGCTCTCATCTGTTCGAATGACGACGCCATTTGGTCCAAACTGTTCTTGCGGTGTTTTTGGTGCTAAAATCTAAGAAATCTGCACGTGGACCGAAAAGTAGAAAAGAGAGCGAGCGGAGGGAGAAAAGGCTTGGAACGGAAAGGGCTGTGGTGACGTGATGTAAACGGGAAGTTGGATTACTGACGTACCACAGAACATTTTACATTTTAGTCATTTAGCAGACGATTTTACCCAGAGCGATTTATAGTTAGTGCACACATGTTCATACTGGCCCCCCGTGGGAAACAAATCCACAACCCTGGCGTTGCAAGCGCCATGCTCTACCAACTGAACTACACGGGGCCCATGTACACTGAAACATGCATTGGAGACAGCCTAAAATCAACAAATCAGTATGTTTCATTTGTGAACATATAGACGAATGGCCAAATATATGCACAATATTTACAACTGACGAGCGTTTCGAATGACATGAATGCACCGAGGAGCGAAAATGTGATGGTTTTACTTCCATTATTTTCAATAGACTGAAACCACTATGGTTCCTACCCAAACAAAATGACAGTTGCATGGTAACTTTACTGCCTCCTATTGTTGTGATGGAGTATGAACTAGTACAATAAATATGTTGGTTGCTGTAAAATCAGTAGATTTAGTATTGCTCTCACATTGTAATATGTTCTATAGTTATAATGTTGTGGTAATTAGCTAACCAATTTACTCCAAGAGCAGGGATCATCAATCAGATTCTTGAGCGGATGGTCAGGGGGCCGGAACATAATCACAAATCATTTGTAGACTGCAATTTGACCGCAATAATCCCAAACATATATCATATTTGACTAAAACATAATTACGATCACATGTATCTCTCTATTATGCGTGAGAATACTTGGGAACAGATTTCCAAAATAATAATTACTTGGAGCTGATTACCTGGTGTTTTTTATGTCCAACAATGGTTTATTAAAACCACCAGTTGGGGAACCCTGCCCTAGGGCATGTGGCATGTGAAATAGCCTATGCCTTATGCAACAGTGATCTATTTTTCAGTGGTGATGTGTGGTTTCTAGGGGACTGCACAAGTTTCCATTTAAGACATTACTTCCATTTATGGCCAAACTTTTAAATGACATAGGCATTGATTGTCGTATGCATACCACAACTAAGGCCATATAGTCTAATTTCAAACCTGATCATCAGCCACGCCATCCCCTACACCTTAATTACCCTTTCGTTGTTCAAATGAAGGTAATCTGTGGTTGCTTGCTATATGCCTACACAATATATACAAAAGTATGTGGACACCCCTTCAAATTAGTGGATTCGGCTATTTCAGCCACATCCGTTGCTGACAGGTGTATAAAATCGAGTACACCGCCATGCAATCTCCATAGACAAACATTGGCAGCAGAATGGCCTTACTGAAGAGCTCAGTGACTTTCAACGTGGCAACAAGTCAGTTCGTCAAATTTCTGCCCTGCTAGAGCTGCCCCGGTCAACTGTAAGTGCTGTTATTGTGAAGTGGAAACATCTAGGAGCAACAGCCGAGTGCTGAAGCGTGTATCGCGTAAAAATCGTCTGTCCTCGGTTGCAACACTCACTACAGAGTTCCAAACTGCCCCTGGAAGCAAAGTCAACACAAGAACTGTTAGTCTGGAGCTTCATAAAATGGGTTTCCATGGCTGAGCAGCCGCACACAAGCCTAAGATCACCATGCGCAATGCCAAGCGTCGGCTGGAGTGGTGTAAAGCTCGCCGCCATTGGACTCTGTAGCAGTAGAAACGCGTTCTCTGGAGTGATGAATCACACTTCACCATCTGGCAGTCCGACGGACGTATCTGGATTTGGCGGATGCCAGGAGAACGCTTCCTGATTACCTGATTGGAGCTACCTGCCCCAATGCATAGTGCCAACTGTAAAGTTTGGTGGAGGAGGAATAATGGTCTGGGGCTGTTTTTCATGGTTCGGGCTAGGCCCCTTAGTTCCAGTGGAGAGAAATCTTAACGCTACAGCATACAATTACATTCTAGATTATTCTGTGCTTCCAACTTAGTAGCAACAGTTTGGGGAAGGCCCTTTCCTGTTTCAGCATGACAATGACACCGTGGACAAAGCGAGGTCCATACAGAAATGCTTTGTCAAGATCGGTGTGGAAGAACTTGACTGGCCTGCACAGAGCCCTGACCTCAACCCCATTGAACACCTTTGGGATGAATTGGAACTCCAACTGCGAGCCAGGCCTAATCAGTGCCTGTCCTCACTAATGCTTTGTGGCTGAATAGAATTTAGTGGAAAGCCTTCCCAGAAGAGTGGAGGCTGTTATAGCAGCAAAGGGGGGACCAACTCCAAATTATTACCCATGATTTTGGAATGAGATGCTCGACGAGCAGGTGTCCACATACTTTAGTGTATGTCTAACACCAGTGGGTGTTTGTGTGCTATGGCCTTTGACAGACACACTGTGGGCTTGCTCAGACAGGGGATGGCAAAGACCAGGCAGGGGGTGGGGTGTTAAATGTCAGAGTTTTCTGACATTGAAATGTGATATAACTAATGCAAAATGTGTATTCACTCGTCTACAATACAATAGTTAATTAAATGGTTACCGGGACTATCTGCATTGACCCTATCTTGCACTGACTATGCCTACTCTCAAAACGATGTATACACTATATACAGTGAATTCGGAAAGTATTCAGACCATTTGACCTTTTTCATATTTTGTTATGTTACAGCCTTATTCTAAAATGGATTCAATTGTGTTTTCCCCCTCATCAATCTACACACAACACCCCATAATGACAAAGCAAAAACAGGTTAGAAATGTTTGCAAATCTATTAAAAATAAAAAACTGAAATATTACATTTACATAAGTATTCAGACCCTTTACTCAGTACTTTGTTGCAGCACCTTTGTCAGCGATTACAACCTTGAGTCTTCTTGGGTATGACTCTACAAGCTTGGCTCACCTGTATTTGGGGAGTTTCTCCCATTCTTCTCTGCTGATCCTCTCAAGCTCTGTCAGGTTGGATGGGGAGCGTCGCTGTACAGCTATTATCAGGCCTCTCCAGAGATGTTCGATCGGGTTCAAGTCCGGGCTCTGGCTGGGCCTCTCAAGGACATTCAGAGACTTGTCCTGAAGCCACTCCTGTGTTGTCTTGGCTGTGTGCTTAGGGTCGTTGTCCTGTTGGAAGGTGAACCTTCGCCCCAGTCTGGTGTCCTGAGCGCTCTGGAGCTGGTTTTCATTAAGGATCTCTCTGTACTTTGCTCCGTTCATATTTCCCTTGATCCTGACTAGTCTCCCAGTCCCTGCCGCTGACAAACATCCCCACAACATGATGCTGCCGCCACCATGCTTCACCGTAGGGATGGTATTGGCCAGGTGATGAGTGGTGCCTGGTTTCCACCAGACGTGATGCTTGGCATTTAGGCCAAATAGTTCAATCTTGGTTTCATCAAACCAGAAATTCTTGTTTCTCATGGTCTGAGAGTCTTTGGGTGCCTTTTTGGCAAACTCCAAGCGGGCTGTCATGTGCTTTTTACTGAGGAGTGGCTTCCGTCTGGCCATTCTACCACAAAGGCCTGATTGGTGGAGTGCTGCAGAGGCTGTTCTTCTGGAAGGTTCTCCCATCTCCACAGAGGAACTCTGGAGTGCTCTCAGATTGACCATCGGGTTCTTGGTCACCTCCCTGACCAAGGCCCTTCTCCCCCGATTTCTCAGTTTGGCCGGGCGGCCAGCTCTAGGAAGAGTCTTGGTGGTTCCAAACTTCTTCCATTTAAGAATGATGGAGGCCACTGTGTTCTTGGGGACCTTCAATGCTGCAGGAATGTTTTGGTACCCTTCCCCAGATCTGTGCCTCGACACAATCCTGTCTCGGAGCTCTACGGACAATTCCTTCAACCTCATGGCTTGGTTTTTGCTCTGACATGCACTGTCAACTGTGGGACCTTATATAGACAGGTGTGCGCCTTTCCAAATCATGTCCAATCAATTGAATTTACCACAGGTGAACTCCAATCAAGTTGTAGAAACATCTCAAGGATGATTAATGGAAACAGGATGCACCTTAGCTCAATTTCGAGTGTCATAGCAAAGGGTCTGAATACTTATGTAAATAAGGTATTTCAGTTTATTTTATTTTATACATTAGCAACATTTTATAAAAACCTATTTTCACTTTGTCATTATGGGGTATTGTGTGTAGATTGATGAGGATATGTTTTTATTTAATCCATTTTAGAATAAGGCTGTAAAAAGGGAAGAAGTGCAGAATGCACTGTATACACTCACACACACTACACTGACACTCTCACACAAACCCACACACATTCCATACACACACACACACACAACACACACATAACGACGCCACACGCACGCACACACACTTTCACACTCATCATATGCTGCTGCTGCTACTCTGTTCTTTATTTTACTCTTAATATTATCTATCCTGATGCCTAGTCACTTTACCCTACCTTCATATACATATCTACCTCAAATACCTCATACCCCTGCACAGTGATCACAGTACTCCCTGTATATAGCTCCATTCTTGTATATTTTATTCTTCTTGTGTACATTATATATATATATATATATATACAGTGGGGTAAAAAAGTATTTAGTCAGCCACCAATTGTGCAAGTTCTCCCACTTAAAAAGATGAGAGAGGCCTGTAATTTTCATCATAGGTACACGTCAACTATGACAGACAAATTGAGAAAAAATTGGTCACCTACAAACAAGCAAGATTTCTGGCTCTCACAGACCTGTAACTTCTTCTTTAAGAGGCTCCTCTGTCCTCCACTCATACCTGTATTAATGGCACCTGTTTGAACTTGTTATCAGTATAAAAGACACCTGTCCACAACCTCAAACAGTCACACTCCAAACTCCACTATGGCCAAGACCAAAGAGCTTTCAAAGGACACCAGAAACAAATTGTAGACCTGCACCAGGCTGGGAAGACTGAATCTGCAATAGGTAAGCAGCTTGGTTTGAAGAAATCAACTGTGGGAGCAATTATTAGGAAATGGAAGACATACAAGACCACTGATAATCTCCCTCGATCTGGGGCTCCACGCAAGATCTCACCCCGTGGGGTCAAAATGATCACAAGAACGGTGAGCAAAAATCCCAGAACCACACGGGGGGACCTAGTGAATGACCTGCAG